CCCCCCCCCCCCCCCCCCCCCCCCCCCCCCCGTCTGTCTCTGTCTCTCTCCTCTCTCTTTCTCTGTCTCTCTCTTGGTCTCTGCCTCTCTCTCTTTGTTTCTCTGTCTGTGTCTCTATCTCTTGGTTCCTCTCTCTGTCGCTTTCTGTTTCTCTTTTTCTCCTTCTTTCTCTCTCGTCCTTCTCTCCCAGACAGCAGAAGACATCCTTCTTGCAGTCCACATAGGCCCTTCTCTGGCTCTCCGAGCTCCCGAGTGCTGGAGGGAAGTTGAGAAAACACTTCGCGGGGCTCCCAGGCCGGGAGGCCGGGAGGGCACCGCTGAGGCCGGCCTGGCTGGGCGCGGGCGAGCCCAGGGCGGCCCGGACCTCGGTGCGTTTTCTGGACGGGTGTCCACGGAGTCAGGCAGGCGCCCTTCGAGCTCGGCAGGCCGGCTCTGCTGCGCTGTCTCCATGGGTAGGGCCGAGGACGGGAGCTGCTCTCCCAGCTGGCTTCGCATCAGGAGGACAGCCTGCACCGTACCGGGCGGGATTGTGGTGTGATCTCATTGGCATTTTAAACTCCATTAGCATGCCTGGGCATTGTCCCTTAGATCTGGTCTGTTCTCGTTTTAGCAAGGGTGTGTGTAATTTTTCATCTTCCGTAAATATAATTCTGCTGTAGTTAAATCTGGCTCTGCAGAGAGTGGCTTTCACGGATGTCTATGAGCTGGTGTGTGTAACTTTTCAGAGGAGGGAATGACCAGTTATACCTCGTAGGGTGAAAGAATGTGTTTAGTCCCTAGTTATCACTGATGTAAATTCCAGAAAGAAAATTATCAGGCATCATTCTAGAATATCCTTTAGAAAGACAAGTTGAGAGTTGCAACTCTATCAGATTTGGGTCAATAGATTGTTCTGTTCGTTTTCTAAATTCAGCAGCTTTATAAAAACTCAACATGTTTCTTTAACTTATTCTTGGTTCGTGCATGCATGTGTGTTATTTTCAAAAGAATAAGTTTCCCTCTGCAAGTACCTAATCACTTTTTAGGTGTTTTATCCTATGATCATTAAACAGCCTACAAAATCAATTGTTTAAAATATTGATTACTTTGTAGTCCAACCTGACTGGATTGCTTTATCTCTAACTACAGTATTGTTTTAGAAGATAACTAACTTAAATGTGAATGGGGGTGGCAAGAAATTCATTATCAGTCATATATCTTAAGGGGATCTGCAGAAACTGAAAAGAATGAACTGGTGTTGTAGGCATATTGTCAAGAATTTGGCACCCCATTTCCACCCCTGTTAACTTAGAGGTGATCAATCTTCATTTGACCTAGACATGCCATCACAGAAAACACTGTGCCTGTTTATCTTTATTATTGGGGCTTTGTTTCCTCTTTGTCTGGATAAATTCCAAATAAGGGGTTGTTTTAGATCTTGAAGCAAAAGAAGGAATAAAGATGGAGAAATAGGAAAATGGCACTCAAAGACCATCGCTATCCCTTTTCCAAAATGTGTAGTTTTGAGGTCATACATCTAGTCCACTTAATGAGCCAAAAATAAGGTAGCCAGGAAGCAAGTGTTAAGTCTTCATTCAGCACTATCAGTATCAATCCAAGCTAAAATAAAATAGCACCATCAAAAAAGGGTATTAAAGATGAATTGACTAGAAAAGAATTGTGAAAATGGAAATGAATATTGATCACTTAACTAGATTTTGAGGTTATCAATAGAGAGTGACCTTGCTGTATAGCTGTGGTTGTTGAAATTAAAATTTAGGGCAAGACCTCTAAAGCTTCAAAAAAGTGCTTTTTTGTTGTTAAAAATCTATAGCATTTTGAAATGACTGGAGTATTCTCTTTAAATTTGAGGTTATGATGACAGAGAAAATGATCTCTTCCTCTGTGACACCAACACCTGTAAATTTGATGGGGAATGTTTAAGAATTGGAGACACTGTGACTTGCGTCTGTCAGTTCAAGGTAAGAAGTATAATATTTGCATCTTTTATTTCATTAATGATGCTACAACACAGGAATCCCTCTTTACAACATATCACTGGGCAATTTATAGCTATGTAAGCTAAGAGAAAAGCTGGCACCGAGCAGCAGTACTGGCAAGAGAGCCAACTGATGTCAAGAAGACATACGGTTTTTGGAGAAATGTATATGCCAAAGTTATAAATGCCACTGGAGGTAGAAAGCTTCAGGTTGTGCTTTTGGGATGTCAAAGGAAAATTGTGTTTCTCTGAGCCTTCTAGCGCACATCTTAAAAGTCAACTGACTGAAAATAATAACCAAAATAGTTAGTGGATAAGAAGTACGGATTTGTATTTTTGTTCTTTTTGATTGGAGCTATCATCTTTTGATCATAAGGCTCATTGTTGTAATGGTCTTGGCTTTTATTATCCTGGCAATCTGGTTAAGTTTTTAAGTGAATTCCTTGTTAATATGACTTCAAAACTATTGTGGTAGTTTGGAAATCATGGAACTTACTAATGTATATCAACTTTTTCATGGGTATCATGTTCAATTAGAACTTAACATGGAATCTCCCAGGAACCCAAAAGAACATTTAAAGCCACAAGTTATTTCATGACATGAGAAAGATGTGTTATACTTTTTTAAAAATAAAAGGAAGAGAAAGAGTTTGCACCATTGGCATCATCAAAACTAGGTTATTGGTATCCATCTATTAAAGAGAGAACTCTTAATGTCATTAGTATAGTCATTACCTAACAAACGCTTTTCAGCATGTAAATTATAAATGTTCTTTTCTTCTCAAAATGTTCATATAATCATGTATACCTTCAAATAGCATATATAATGTTCTATTATCCTATATTTACCCTTGAGTGTTCTTGGACTCATTTTTAAAATACTCTTGAAACCGAACATAAGCCTCAACCAAGAAATATGCACATAAACAGCGCTATATATGGGAGATCAGAAAAGCTTTTCTAAGACTAAAAATTTTTAAATACAGAAAAAATAAAAGCATTAAACTCAAATTCAGACCTAAATATCTGATTAATATGTAATATTTAGAATTGTTTATGAAATTTAAATATTTTAGATTGAATTCATCTTCCTAGTAAGAGAGATAAGGGAATTCACATCAAAATATAGTTTGAGTGGCTTTTAGACAAGCTAAACACCTCTTAGGTATTATTTTCTTGGTTGTAAGAAACACAATAAACAACTGATATTTGCAAAGTGCACCACCTCCTGGTGGGTAAGTACTGTTGTGACTTTACTATGGTCTTTTGGACCATGCTATAGTGTTAGAAACATAATTATATATGTTTAATACGCAGGTAACACCAACTTCTAAGGTCCCCAGCCACACGACAATGTAATTTCATTTTCAGTTAGCTATATAAGAGAGATAAAGCATGAGAACCCCCCAATTCATACTTTTCCCAAATGTTAACTAAAGGAGAAAAAAATAATTGGATAAATCATTAAATGCCCACAGGAGTTTGTGGAATTTTTTTCCCTTTCTGTTTGTGATTTCCATAAATTTGTCTCATTTTCCTGACTTTGGATAAACATAAGCAGTGAACTTGTAAAAAAAAAAAAAAATAGAAGCTGGGCTCGGTGGCTCAGCCTGTAATCCGGCCCCTTTGGGAGGCTGAGGTGAGTGGATTGCCTAAGCCTGCAGGTTCGAGACCCGCCTGGGGAGCGAGACTTCATCTCTACAATAAATCAAAAAATCAACCAGACGTGGTAGCACATGCCTGTAATTCCGGCTACTTGGAAGGCTGAGGCGGAATGATCGCCGGAGCCCAGCAGGTTGAGGCTGCAGTGGCCGGGAGCAGCCACTGCACTCCAGTCTGGGCGACAGAGTGAGACTCCAACTCAAAAAAAAAAAAAAAGAAAGAAAAGAAAATGAACCAGGAAGAACATTTCTCCAATGAAGCCATGGTTCTAAGATTTCATCAATGGTAAAAATGGAGTTGCTAAAACTCTAAATGGATAAATGCTACTAAGTGGAACTGTGTAATTTTCTTATTAGAGGAATAGTGTTCAGTTTTCAGGTGCCATGGACAATTTTGGTAAAATTCTTATCAACAAAAATACATTGATCCGGCAATTACATTTACCATTAATTTAAATAATTATTAAGTGGAATACATGAACTGGCAATGAGTACATGTTTGATTCATAAATCAAAATGTAAGCTTGCTTTTTATGACACTCGTGGCACCTTAAACTTACTACCACATTGCCACTGCTGTTAGCTTCTGATTTGCAATAGTTGTCAATCTGACAGAAGAAAAGAAACATCTCCCTAGTGGAAAATGTAGACTTTTCACATACCAAGAAAGAATATAGAGTGACTGAATTGAGTTGAAGATCAAAGAAAATGTACAAGTTGCATAAAGAATAGTAAAAAGGATATTTTAAGCTAAAAGTCTCTTGATTCCGTCATTTCTCAATACATTCACATGACTTTGAGATTTTTGGTGTTTCTCCCCCCCTCTGTATCTGATTTATCTTATATATTATTCTAAATGTTTTTTTCTCCTGTGTTTTATAATTATAGTTTTTCTGGCTGACAAGTAAATTTCAAGGAGAAAGAACATATATCTGTTTATCTGTAAAATTTTCAATTAGCATTATTATTGGTGCACTAAAGTACGCACCTCTTTTAGTCAATCGTAAATAAATTGATTTCTTCTTTTTAAGCATATTATCTTATTTATTTCTCACAACTCGGTGAAACAATTGTTTTCTTGTCTTTTAAAGATGAGGATATTAAATCCATAAATACAAGAAGTCTCTTATGATTAAGTAGTGATCCTAGAGTAAGAACCTAGGTCCCTTGACATCAAAGGCAAGTTTTCTTTGCAAATGAAAAACTTTTTTGCAAATGAAAATATCAGTAAAAACCACCAAAGTACCAATTTATTATAGTCATCTCTGAATACTAAAATGACTAATTTGGGAGTGATAATGCAATTGTGCAATCTTATGCATCCTGCCTTCCTATGTGTACACCAAATGGCATGTTGGTCAATCTGGTAAATTCATTATGAGAATGGAAATTTGGAAATAATAGATGGGTGGAGAGATGGATGAATAAAAAGAGAAAGGGAGGGATGACAGATGGAAGGGAGAGAGGAAAGAAGGAAGGGTGGGAAGAAGGGAGGGAGAGAGAGAGAGAGAGAGAGGAAGGAAGGAAAGAAGGGACAGAGGAAGGCAGGAAGGAAGAAAATAGGGAAGGAGTCACATATGCCATTATTCATAGATAACACTAGTCATACAATGACCAATGATCATTTCATAATTTAAAAATATGATGAGACCTTATGTGTTTCAGGTATTATCTAACTCAAATATTAAATATTTAATTTAATAAAATATGCTTTAGATCCGCACATGGTCTAGTTACCAAGGCAGCACAGCAAACTGCCCAGAATTTAGTGGCTTAAGACACTGAATAGTTATTTTATTCATGAATCTGCCATTTTGGCAGGGCTCAATGGAAAATCTCATGTCTGCTGTCTTTGGCATTAGCTGATGAGGATGGAGGAACTCAAAGGTTTGTGTTACACTCATCTCAGGTTTCTTGTGCATGTGTGTGACTATCAGCTGGAACTTTGGTTCTTCTCCGTGTTCATCCCTTTGTGTGGGCTAGTTTGGTCTTCCTCAAAACACAGTGACTGCGTCTGAATGACAAGCATCCAGAGAAAGGAAAGGAGCCAGGTAGAAGATGTACCCTTTAATGACCTAACCTGGGAAGTCATATAGAGTCACTTTATCCATAGTCACACTCTTAAAATCATAAAATTTTTACTTGAGGAAATGTCATCACAGAGAAGTAAAAAAATCGCTTATCAAATGGTCAAAGGATTGGAACATATGCAGATTTTTTTCTTTTTTCTTTTTTGGAAGAGAAATATGCCATATCCCAAACCATTCTTCCTAAGCCTTTGACAACTGGGAATATAACAGAATTGACTTAACATCTGTTGAGCACCTTCTAAATGCCAGACTCTGGAAGGTGCCGACAAGTTATAAAACATAAGTCATACATAGCTTCTAGAAATCTCAGCTACAAAGATCTTTATTAACCAAACAAGCAGTAAATCATATAAAAATTTAATGTATAAATTGTATTCATTTGTAGCAAAAATGAATTTTATATATTTCAGTGTGTCAAGTTATTTAATTCATTACTGTAGTGTATAGCTAATTTTTTAAGCAATGTGGAAAGTTTGGAACAAGCTTTTCTGTTTAAAAAAACATATTTGGAAAACAAACTTAAGGCTTTTTAAAATCTTAGGAAAAATAGAATCATTATTTTCCCCTGAGAGGATGTCTGTTTAACACATACATTTATGGATCTATCTATCTGGGCTTGACTCTTGTTTTTCCTCTTACTGGTCAAGTCTGTGGTCTTTTGCAAGTCACTTAACATCTGAATCTGTCCTTTCATCTGAAATGGAGCAATATCATGATTACCGCTAAAACCATTTCCAGTAATTTGGCATATTTTGATGCAGTAGTTAGCCTATTTTCATGGTTAGGGTTATTCTGTCTTCCTTTGTTCTCTAATTTTAGAAATATCATGTTTTGATGTTAATGTCAGATGATGATTCTGCTAGTTAAAATACATGTAATAAAAGGCAAATAATTTACATTTCTTCTTATAAGTGACTACCAAAGTATTTCATATTTTAAAAACATGATTCCATTAATTTCTCAAATATTCCAGGCAACCATTTCAGATGGGGAGATTAAGCTGGTAAATGTACTAAATACTTAATTGTTGAGTAATATATGTAAAGTCCTCCACCAAGGTATTGAGAGAAAGAGAAACTAGGACTAAAGTCCCACTCGTAGCATTGTGTTATTTATATGAATGAGTGCAAGTGTTGGTACTAAGGGCCAAAAACATCTTGCTTGTAATCTTCAGTTAAGCTCTTTTCAGCTCTATAGAAGTCTTCCTTTTGGCTTGTGCATGGAACTTGGCAGCTCTGTTTTTAGAACTGTTCGCATTTGGCTTACTGCATCCCTCAGAAGTGGCATATGAGCACTTTATCGGTTTATTCGATATTTTAAGATGCATATCAGCATTGTGTACTAGCACTTGACAGATATAATAAATACTTCCCACTCCCACTCTCAGCCCGCTGACTCTACATTTGAGTAATTTGAGAAGGAAAAATAAATTTTAAGGAGTAGAGCGAAGAAAATGTGGACACGTTATCTACACACAAAGTATGGTGACTAGGGTTGGAGATGGAGATCAAAAGGTAACCAGGGACAAGATTTCTAGAACTCAAACATGAGATGCTAACTAGTCCAAGTGTAGACTCTAATTATGACTCTCTTCTGTCCAAAGGATAGCAAGTCTATAGACCATAAAGTCCCCAGCTGTCTCCTTCTGTCTGGTCACTCCTCCATGTGCCCAGGCACCATTGTAGTGTTTGTGGGTCCCCATCAATCCTAGCTGCATTCTTCTGTCCCCGGTCCTGAACAAAGCACATTTACCAAGCACCTGTCTATTCAGTTGTCTTCCTGATTACGGTTCTGACATGAGCACCAGCCTCATTCATTTGTTGTCTCTTCAGTACTGCTCATTGCAATGAACACTCAGCTACCTACTGACATTTTGCTATTGCCTTCTTTCTTGAGTAGCAATGGAGATGCTCAGTCTATGGTTATCAGTTTTCAGATGTAAGTTAAAAAAAATTTGGAAAGTTTTAGGAGACAGCCTCTACACAGGTATCATCTGATCAGAAGTGAGTTGCCTACTGAGTTAAAAATTACAGAAAGATTTGTGAAAAGTTCTAATTAAATCAGTTTTTAAAAATAAAATTACATAAATAAACTGACTCTGGAAAGCCTATATTGTAACTGTGAAAAGGAATTATATAGAGGATTTTCAGAATGTCTAGGTTATAAATTGTAGAAATTAAGATAAAGAAGATTTCTAAAATATGTGCTAAACCATTCTGTTAGCAATTTATGGTCATCATAATATGACTGTCATACAGTTTGGAGTTACCGTTTGGAAAAACGTTAATCCCAATTAGCAAAATGTAATATTTAAGTTTTTAAATAATATATAAAACGTAAGGCTTATAAAACATGACTTATTGCTGAGAATATTGACTTATACCATTTATAAATTTGTTAAGATGATTAATCTATTATTATATAAAGACAAAAACAAAATTAAATAGTTGATTGGGAATAATGCAGTTCTGATATTGTAAAGAAATACAATAAAAAATAAATGTCAGGGCTTTTTCCAATTAGATTATCAATATTTGAGAGTTTACTTTTTTGCATAATCGTTGAGCTGAAGTTTACTTATGATAGAGTTTTAGACTAATTATTTTATATATTTAAATGTTCCTAGACACAAGAGTATTAGTTTATTTGTATGTGTTAGGAAATACATTTAAAAATCCAAATATTTTAATTAAAAGTAGAGCTCAGAGAAGTGTTTTCACATGTATCTGCAAGTATGATTTTCTTTACTTAGTTTCTGGCACAAGTGAACATTTATAAATAATCATCTTGATCATTAGATTTGTTTATAATTAAACAATGAGGCACATCAGTAGTAGTAATCATGGGATAATCACATCCCTGGTGTAATTAGCAGGTACAGGACAAAGTCAAGTATCTCTAATGCCTTAGAGTGTGATTATTTTATGATTCCTATACTCGGTAGGTTACCTAATTTCCATTGTAAAATGTGTACATTTTTTGTAATGATGTTATTTTTCAAATGAACATTTCTCTTTATGAAATATCTAGGAATAGTCATACTTTGGAATACTTGGTGCAGTTTACATATAGTTCAGTTGTAAATTTTTTCCCTTTATTCCAAAGTCTTATTTCTCTCCAGACTGTATCTATGTCAATATCCAATGATCTAAGCATGTATAAAAATTAGTTAGTAGACCAATATTTTATCTGAATGTTTGGAAATGTGTAAAGATTAAAATCCAGTCATGAAAAAACAACCGAGGAGTCTTTGCCATTTCAGCTGTATACTTCTGCTTCTAACACAGATAGACATTACCTATTTTTGAATAGTTTGAACATGATAATGTGCTTTGATTTCTTTCCATCAAGTCAAGTGGGTCACATATCAAAAAATAATATGAAACAGTTTTGATACATTTGTTGTTACAGTTTTGGTGCTGTTTGTGTTATCACTTTGTTGACATTGCCTGATCAATTTAGATGCTTCTCTTTGCCCCATCTGAATCAAATGAATGGTTGGCCAACTTGAAATTGCCTTTGTGTATCTTTGAAGGATGCCCTTACAAGGTCAAAAACTTATGAATAACAATAAAGATCATTGAGAATGAAGACAAGTGGCTTCTTCTACAAATGATTATTTATGTTCATCATGTTGGAGGGCTGCAGATTCCAGTACTAACCACACGCTCATATCTGTGTATTTCCCAGTGCAACAATGACTATGTGCCTGTGTGTGGCTCCAATGGGGAGAGCTACCAGAATGAGTGTTACCTGCGGCAGGCTGCATGCAAACAGCAGAGTGAGATACTTGTGGTATCCGAAGGATCGTGTGCCACAGGTATGTATATGAGCTACCTTGAAACCTTCTGTGTGGATTCGAATCCAAAAACCAAGTCTTGCATTTCCTACTATGCTATCTCCCAATAAATAGACTGTATATTAGCTGTACAGATTTGTTTTCCTTTTTGTACAAAGCATGCATTATTCTTTTTCTTTATTTTTTAAATATTTTAAATCACTTCTGAAAGAGAAAATCTAGTACATAAGGACATTGGTAGATTTAAACACGTTATTGAATAAAGGGCAGAGTTGAATAAAAGTCAAATATATTAAAAATCTAGATTGAAGACCAAGGTGCTAAGTATGTAGAAACCTGTCTATGCATGGATAAAGAGTTTGTTTGTTTGTTTGTTTGTTTGTTTGTTTGTTTGTTTTGAACAAGAGCACTGTCCTCTGGAAGGCAACTTTGCAAGTTTGGGTTCTAGTGTTAAGATCTAATCTTAACCACTCTACAAAATGGTCTTCTAACCATTAAGTAGATTATATTAAAGAAGGTATTGGTAACAGGCATAATTTTTGATGGCATGTGTTCTTTCTGTCACAGTTAACCTAGGATTTTACAAAGCTTTTTAGTTACAGTGTACCACGAATGCTCTAAGGAAAGTGAGGAGGAGACACTTCATGTGTATGTTACCTGTTCTGATTTGCCTTTCATGTACAGCAGTTGTTAGAGCCTAACGGCATTTCAGGCAGGAAAAAACAAGAGGAATAAAGCCCAACTTGATAAAACAATGCTTGAAAATAGAACTGAGTTTTCAAGTTAAACTTGAGATATCAGAATCACATATACTAAAGAAAATCTAATGCCCTGTAATAGTTGTTCTTAACAGCAAATAAACGTTTTTCTGGCAAGTCATAATATCTGAGAATATGAAAGACATAGGCATACTCAGAAAAAATAATAAAGATGTCAAATATAAACTTCCTCCAAAAATGGAAATAGAGAATAGTGTCATGCAAAGTCTGTTATACAAAAGTCCCTCTTGGATAAACAGTAATTTCGATTCCAGGGTATTATGTTAAAACTTATGTGTTCAGTGGCCAGGGCAGGCTAGAAAGAGGAAAGTCTCATCTTCTTTAAAAGCTATCTTAATTCTATCCATTGTTCATAATTAATATCCTAAGTTGTACTGGTGACTTCCAAAGATTCTGAGAATTAACAGAAGAGAGAGAATGGTTCATTTTTTATGGACAATGAGGTTTGGTTTTGGTTTTGGTTCTTAAGTAGTGTGTTCTCCTAAATGATTCTTTGCCTAATGTGCATGTTCTTTGTGGAAGGGTGGTTGGAAGGCCAGCTGGACTGGTGTTCTACTGGCTTCTTTTTTTTTTTTTTTTGAGTTGGAGTCTCTCACTCTGTCATCCAGACTGCAGTGCAGTAGCCATTCCCAGCCACCGCAGCCTTGACCTGCTGGGCTCTGGTGATCCTTCCGCCTCAGTCTTCCAAGTAGCTGGAACTACAGGCATGCACTACCACGCCCGGCTAATTTTTGATTTATTGTAGAGATGAGGTCTTGCCAAGTTGCCCAGGTGGGTCTCGAACCCGCGGGCTCAGGCAATCCACTCACCTCAGCCTCCCAAAGGCGTGGGATTACAGACTGAGCCACCGAGCCCAGCTTCTACTGGCTTCTTATTTGCTAAACAGGTCATTGCTGCTTGACCTGTGAGTGAGAAGTATGAACAAAAGTGACCAGCATGCGGTTACCATAGTAAGAACAAGGGAGATAGACAAGGATCAACTAATTAAAAAATCATTCCTAAGGAACAAAAAAAAGAAAAATGATACTTTAAAACAAATGGAACAGAAAAAATTAGAATTCTTGACTCCCAGAATTCAGTACAGACATAGGCAAAGATCATAGGTTATTAAGGAGAGGATTTGCCCATTCAAAATCATAGAGGATACCTACTCTCTGATAATAGTCAAATGAGGCTCAACAGATGATAGTCATAATGAGCAGACCAAAATTTATGGTTATGGCTAATGATATTTGGTAGCAAAATCTCTCTTTCTTACTTGCTAATCACCAAGTTCTTATCAGCACAGATAATCACATTCTCCTGATTCATTCAAGTCTTTCCATTCTAGTGCTGGTTACTCTATGAAAATAAATACTTAACCAAGTAGAAAATTTAATCATAATCGAGTAATCCATCTTTAGGTCATTCACATACTTAAATTTCTACAGGATTTAATTAGTAAGCCAGGTTTGCTGAATGCATCTTCCATGGATGTATAAATCTAAAAGGTTTTTGATCTGAGTAATGACAGAGAGAACAAAGTAATTTTGATTAACCAGGTCTGACTGCAAATAAATTGGGGTTCTGACTTTTGATCTAAAAGGGATTCTCATTTTTTTCTTTGTAGATTTTCCCTTTATTTTTTAATGCTGGTTGACACTGAGTGGAAGTGGCAGGTTGTAAGTTCTAGGAATAATAGGCAGTAGAAGACATAACTTTATATTTATTATGTTTCATTGAACATACAAATCTTTATTTGTCAAGAAAATAGTTTCTTGTTGGAAAGTCTGCTCATTGGTCTTACTGTCAATTTAACTTTTTGCCTTGTAAGAAATGCATTGATTCCAAATCCAACCTCAGGTCCAAAAGCATGACTTCTTTTCTTGGGTGTTTCTGTCTCACTAGTAAGACTTTAGTAGGCTGCTTATCTTCAGTTTGCCAAGATGACTCATCTTGTAATAGACAAAGCATTAAAGCTTCCCATCATTATTTAGTAATGATGCCATTGACTTAAGTGACCATTTTCTCAATCAATTCCTCTTTTTTTCCCCCTAGCTATTTAATTTGGGTCAAATCAAACACTAATAATCCTAAGGACCATGCCCCTTAAAGTCTTAGAAATATATGTGGGAAATAAAGCTAAATACTACAGTTATTTATTCTGATATTTTCTAACCATATGTATTTATTAGAAAATTTATAGATAAATAGGCAAGATGTTTACTCTTCATTTTAATTATTATGTTATAGACAGTGCTTAAACATTTAAAATATGCTATGCAGTAAACTTCAGAAAAGCCCAAAGAGATAGACATTGTTATACCCATTGCATAGAAGAGGAGTAAGCTTAAGAAGATTGATTAACAGCCGGGCTCGGTAGCTCAGCCTGTAATCCCACGCTTTTGGGAGGCTGAGGTGAGTGAATTGCCTGAGCCCGCGGGTTCGAGACCCGCCTGGGCAGCGAGACCTCATCTCTACAATAAATCAAAAAATCAGCCGGGCGTGGTACCGCGCACCTGTAATTCCAGCTACTCGGAAGTCTGAGGTGGAAGGATCGCCGGAGCCCAGCAGGTCGAGGCTGCGGTGGCCGGGAGCGGCCACTGCACTTCAGTCTGGGCGACAGAGCGAGACTCCGACTCAAAAAAAAAAAGAAGATTGAGGAACATTTCTGTGTCATCCAATGAGTGAGGTTTGGAGCTTGAAGCCCATAAGCATTTATGTATTTTCTTTTATGTGCTTATGAGGACAGAAAGATGAACAACACATTGTCCTTGACTTGAAGAAATGTGTGGTCTTTGTGGGCCATAAAAAAGAAAATATGTACATACAGCTGAAATATGGATAGACTATGTTATCAGCATAACAATATAACCTAGTGTTTAATCCCTAATTATTACAAGAAATATTGAACTAAGCTTTCAAGTTAATTCAAATAAAGTCAAATAAAATTTTATCTGTGAAAGTATAGAAAAAAGAAACATGACAAACATTGAGCATTCAAGCACTGCTCTGTCCAAAAGAGATGATGCTATAACTTATGATTATCAGTCAGTTAGTAGGAATATTCTCCTATTATGAATGTGAATGCATCAGCCTTTCTTAATCTGTTATCATTAAACTGTCACATCGTATGATTAAAATCCTTGTTTGATTCTACATTTACCAAGATACGTTTTACTATAAATGGTTTTACCAATTAGATTTATTTTAAGGAAAAATATGCTGGCCTAAAAACAGGTACTCAGTCTCATTAACAGTTTAATGAGTGATTTGACATTCTAATATACCAGGGGGATGCCCCCCCAAAAGCAGAAATTATCTTTTGGAGGGTAGGCTCCTTGTAGTGCAGGTTCCCCTACAGGGAAACGTTCTAGGAATCTATTGGCATCAGTATACCAGCTAGTGTTGTTGTGAGAGGCTGCATTCAGTTTCAGCTGTTTGTTTGTTTGTTTGTTTGTTTGTTTGTTTTGGGGGGGGGAGTTTCTTTCAACACATTTGCCCTTTTCAAGTTGGGTGATTTACAAGCTCACCTGCCCACACTGCTCTGAGTATACAGCAGTTTTTGACCAAAAAGGATATAATCCCCATGATCCACCCTCCCTATTCACTCAATCTCACCCCAAGTGACTTTTTTTGTTTGTTTGTTTCTCTAAATTAAAAGAATCTTCAGTGGGAAACATTTTCCTAATGTAAAAGAGGTGAAACAAAAAATGGCAGAAGCACTAAAAGGCATCAAAATTGATAAGTTCAAAAACCGTTTTGAGCAGTAGAAAAAATGTGTCAAAGGTGCATTCAATCAAACAGAGAGTACTTTGAAGGTGACTGAAGTTTAAACATGTAAGAATAAACACAATTTTTTAATAAATAAATTCTGATTTTTTAGGGTCCTCCTTCATAATAATGTGACGCTGTGAATTGAGTTAGTGTGCATCTCCACCATGAATGACAGTTTAAACTAATGCTTCTTCATGGTATAGTGTTCATGCCATCACATAATAACTAGAAAATTTCAACTAGAAAATTGGATGTTTCTGGGAACTGAGTTCTCAGAAATAGACAACTGAGACCAGTCGTAATTAGTGGCAAGGAGGGAAAGAAGAAGTGGAGAAGGAAATCCAGAAGAGAGATATTACTTTTCTGTAAGAATCACTTAGTAAATATCCCATTTTCAGCACCAAGAGAACTTCTGAGGAGAGAGGCATTCATTCTTCCATGGGTGTAAGCTGTCTATGGACTTCCACACACCATGCCTCTTTCTATGTGGTGCGTCCCAATAACCATGGAAGCACACAAATAAAAGTTAAGCTCTATTTTAGTTGTACTAAAACATCAAACATAAACATAAAAGTTGCATTTGATATAGGTCAGTATGGGACGATCGCACATCAGACAGAGACTACCGATGTGTAATCTTACTTCCCTGTATTAACATTAAAAATACATAACTAAATGGCTTTAGACTCAAAAAAGTGGAGAGACGGAGGGAAGATGATATCTATACTTAACAGGTAGAAGTAAATAGAAACTCAATGGTCATGACTTCAACTGGAAAATTGGGTGTTTCTGGGAAATGGGTTCTCAGAAATAAACAACTAAGATTAGCTGTAATTAGTAGCAGGGCGGGAGAGAAGGAAGAAAGAAATTCAGAAGACAAGGTATTACTTTTCTGTCAGAATCACTTAGTAAATATCCAATTTTAAGCACAAAGACGTAAGTTAAGCTCATTCTTCATTGATTTTCAGTGTTGATTTCAGAAACAAAGTATGATTTTTCACAAATAGAAGTATCCATAATTGTGGCATTTGGTAAAATGTTTCAACACTTAAAGAAATATTTATTTTTAAACTGCTTTTCTCTTTGTTCATATGCAGTTTGCAAGAATATAAGCTTTATTTATGAGTTTATTTGCCACATGTATTAGACTGTTTATTTTCTAAAACTTACTGATTGTTACAAGCATATGGTTTTCAATTTTTTTTTTGGTTGTTAAGGACACTAAATCTAGCCTGTCAAGATTAGGAATTTTTCCAAACTAGATAATAATTGTTTCATAACATTTTACAATAAAAATTGTGGAGAATTTATTTTATAAATTATGTTAATGCAAATGAAATTAAATTGATGTGAATATACATTATCAGATTAAATATTAGTAATTTTTTCAGACAATGATATTGTAGTCGTAAGATAAGACCGTAAACTTGAATTTTAAAAAGTCATAAATATTTCAGTGTTTTTCAATAAAATATATATATTTTTCCCTCCACAGATGCAGGATCAGGATCTGGAGATGGAGGTAGGAGTTACCTTTTTATATATTTGAAGACGTAAAATTTCAAAAATAACATTCTCCTTATTAAGTAAATGTATCTACCATGCAAATTATTTGGCATACTTATAGATCATTCATTTATAAATAATTCATTCATTAAATCTCCACTTAATCTTCCTTGTTCATTCTTGTTTGTGAGTTATCTTTGAGATAGATATGCATAGTGTCAAAACTTTCTAAGAGAAGTACATAGCAGGGCAAAAAGAATTTATGAGGAAATTATTTAATTATTGGGTTTTTAAAACATGTGGCACTGTTCTCAGTTACTAGGTACCAGTATAAACTCATATAAAACTATCATATACATAAAATTTTATTTATCAAATTCATAATTTGAAAACTGAAGAAGCTTTAATTCTTACAAGAAAAGTAAAAAATAAAATAAAATTTAAGTCAATGAAAATAAGCTATCTTTGATTCCTTGATTCCATAAGTTTTTAGCTAAAGTAAAAATATATCTTTTTTTATTATTTAGTTTTGTTTAGGGAAGTGTATGAAAGAGGCAGAAACTTTAAATTTTGATCTAATATACTAACTACCAAAAAAAGGTTTTATTTATAGACTGAATATTCATTGTAAATGTCAATCCATTTCCAGATGAAATCCAAACAGAATTCTACTTCTATACACACAAAACTAAACCTAGATATAATTTCAAGATTAATACAAAAGAACAAAAACATCCTCTCAAGGCTTTGCTTCAACTGTATAAAATAATTAAATGTATGATTCCAAGTTAATTGTAGTTTTTAAATGCATAATTTAATAAAAGATAAGTAAAAGAAGGCCTTGGGTTCAAGAAGGCAGATCTTTAATGCACCCTTTATCTAGTTCAGAAACACTTGAAAGATTTATCAAGTTGCCTTATATAATGAAAGGCTTAACTAGTTCAAATAAGCAATGCCCAGAGAACATAATTAGAGCAGCATCTTGGAGCATAATTTTTTTTCCATGAACACAAAAACTGAGTAGGAGTCAAGTCTCAAATATAGAATACATTTCAAGTCACATGATGTCGGACAGTCCTTTGATGTTTGGACAGTCTTTCTCTACTTCTGAGAAATTAAGTCTTTTTTTTTTCTTTTAGCAGATTAATATAGTATTCCCAAGAAAGCTGCCCTAGAGGTTTTGAGAGAAGAGCTTACAAAAACAAATCTTAAAGAAAAAAAGGGATAAAAAGACAGTTTCTTGAGTAGATGTTTTATCATTGGAATATTTAAAGGATCGACCAAATTTTTAAATGTTACTTTGTAAGGAAGTAGTTTCTGGGCAAAATTCTGTCTGTTTTCCAGATGTTTAGTTTTATATGTGCACTGCCTAATTTGGCAAATACTGTGCTGAGATTGGGCTGTTCTATTGTTCACCCAACCAGTCTTACTTATGTTCTTGCATCTTTAAAAACAAAACACAGAATATCTTTATTTTTCTCCCTGTTAAAGCACCACCATATGCTTTTGCTACTTGAGTCTCCTATCATATCATGTATCATTTCTTTATTTTTTTAACAGTAAGATGTGGGTTTTAGATAGCAGTTTCCAGTTTGCTTTTGTTATATGCAAGTGAAAGTGAAGCCAAACTTACCCTTTCTTGTTGAATTTATTGTATATTAAAATATTTACTTTGTTATGTTTCCCTGTGATCTGAGTAAGACAGGACTTCAACAACTTTTAATCTCATGAGTATGAGATTTATAATTTATTTCATACCACGTGAGTGATACATCAATTGGAAACCACGTTTCTTTTTTTATTGTTTTTTTTTCCTTTTTTAATTCTTTGTTCCATTATAGCTACTTTATAGTAACTTAGAGGAAAAATAACTTCTTAAGAAATGTTTGTTTTAGGGAAAAAAAGACATACACTCCATTTAATTCTTAGTTTATTACTTTAAATAATTGTAGTTCTGAAAATCAAGGAGTTGCGTATTTACTCTAGTTGCATAAAACTATTTAACATTAGAGGCTGAAGAGTTTCTTTTCTTGACTTAATTGCTCTTTTTTTTTTACATGTTACTTTTCTCTGACATACTAGTAGTTTTAATTTTCTTTAATTCCTGTACTCTATTACCAAATTTCAAAAATGCTTGATATTTAAAACCTAAAGCCTAGTTTAGAGTGACATTCACAAATACAAGTTCAATCACATATTCCTTGGCTTGTGTATAAGCTACATTTGACTTGCCATCTCTACTAGGCAAAGGATAAACGTTTTTCTGTATTTTGATAGAGTTCATGTTACCAAGGTATCAGAAGGCCAGAGTAAGTTTCTTTTGATTTAAACAAAAGTAATTGAGTAACCTGTGATGTTTGGCTAATCCAACTATCATCATAACTAGTGATTGTTCTAACTAATCTCTATAGATTGCATTCTCAAAAATGTGCATTTAATTAATAATTGGGTCATTTTTTAAGCACTTTGTATGACTAATAGTTATTTTTCTGATTTCTTATTTTAACAAAAATTCATATAATTCCCAAGTGGAGTTCATTGGTCTGAATAATGAAGTGAACAAATTTACTTATAAAACATTTATCATGAATAAGTATCATTAATGAAATTAAATCTACCAAATCATTTTTAAAATATTTCAATTCTTACTTTTTAACTATTGTTCTATATTTTTACAATGAATGAGTATTACATTTCCAATGAAGATTAGACATGATTATTTTTAAAATAATTTAATTTTAAGCTGTTTGCAGAAGGGCATATCTGTCATTTACTGCATTTGAGGGAATATTTTTGATACAGAATAAAAGGGATATGAAGTTTTTATAAAATTTATGTTAGCTTGTTAATATACATTTTATAGGGGTTAAAAAATCTTTAACTATTGATATTTATTCAGATGAAACAACTCAGAAGGTTACCTTTATTTAGATAAAGCATGTTTACTGCGTCTCTGACATGACCCACAAATGTGTATTCATTCATAAAGGTAATTTGTAGAGTAATAAGAAGCAAATACTTCATACAACCCTAGAGGTTGGTTTTTCCAATTTCAGTGATCAGTGACTGTATCCTCTTCTTTTAGTGTTTAAGAAAATTCATTAGTACAAGAAATTTTGCATAATTAATTTTAAACATAATACCTGCCTCTTAGGAAATTTTGTGTTCAAACACAGATGTTTGGTTAAATATTCAGAATAAACTCTAATGAACTATAAAGTGTGCCACAGGAAGATCATATGTAGAAAAAATTCCAAAGATTTTGAGAATGTGATTGAAAGAAAAGAATTTGTATTTTAAGTACTTACATATATGGTGGTTTAATGTTGTAAATAAGAAAATGGGTGTGTGTAGAAGGGATAATAACCTCTTATCCACCCACAAATTTCCTTAAGCAACAAATACTGCAGGAAGAATAAATACTAAAGGAGCCACTTCTCAAAATCCAGGAGTATGTGGGTGGTTAAAGAATGATTTTTAACCTTGACTTTTCTCTGTAAGTCTTTCAGTCATATTCCAAAAACAAGGCTATGAATTTTTTTGCAATATGTTTTCAAAAACATTTCTGTATTATTTAGATATTTTTCTGGATTATGGAAAAATTTTTAAATGTTCGGTAAAATGAAAACTATATTTTAATGATTACAATAATTATAAATGTATTATCTTACTGTACAAGGGGAAGAATTCACAATTATGTTTTAATAACATCTTATGGGATGTTGTATGATGATGATTGTAGAAATGTGTTTAAGATACACAGCATAGATACAATAGATACATTTTAATTTCAGGAAGTAAAAGGGAGCCCTGGACCAATTCATACAATTTACAAATTGTATATAGTTTTAAGAGAATTCTGTAATAAATTATTGTCAGATATGTACAGAAACAGGTCAAATTAAACTTATGCCTATTGTCTGTATAAAGAAAGCCTGATTTTTATATCACTTATTCAGACAATTATTATTATAACATTGGTATAGGAAACCAGTTGACATATTGTTTTTATTTAATGAAAAATTTCTAGCTCAAATTATTTTCATATAACATTACTCAAGATGTTCGTAATTAAGACATTTACCTCATATACATTTTGGCTAGAAGAAGAAAGGTTCACATTGCAACACATTGTAAATCTTTGGCTACTATATCTGAATATGTGGCTTGCTAACAACTGGCAAAGAATATTGTGAGAACTTTGAAACTAGAAAATAATTTTTAAAAATTCCTTGCCTTTCATATGGATTTTATGATATTCAGGAATATGGTTGACTTAAATAAGCCTAATATAGCCTGGATACTGTGGCAAGATTTCTGGAGCTGTAAAGATAGATATGACACAGTTCTTTATACTCAAGGAGATTACATGTAAATTCTCTTCTCAGCACACAATGGGAAAAATTATGATTCTAATTATAAAAAGAAAAATAATTCCCTGCAGAAATAAAATGTTAAATATACTGTAAATAACAAGGAACTGAATATTTATTTCACAGCATATTCTTGAATAAGCTAAGTCATTTTTCCTTCTATGTTGCTGCATTCATTCTCTTTCCTGACCGGCACTTCTGCCTACTCCACTTCTTGGTCACTATCAAATTCTGGCAAACACAATAGACCCCACCATGTTTTGTTTTGTTTTTTTCTCCATTGGATCCACATTACAGCCAGAGTCTGACAGGCGTCAATTGTGAGCAGCTTCTGCTAAAATGCTGATTTAATAAAGAAAGTCTAGCAAGCTTGCCAGGTCTAAGATTCTGCCAAGGCAATACATATAGGAGGGAAGCAGAAATGATCCACTTTGGCTTTCTCCCACCTGAGAGCTGCTGTTCTGTGCAGATGCACTTAAGGCCATCTGAACCTCAGCTGAAATCCTATCTCAGCTTTTCATAGGCTGGGATCCATCTTGTTTTCTCTCTACCTGAAAGAGAAACAGTAATGCAACGGAGTTATGAAATGGAGGCAGAATGAATGAGGAACACATATGGATAACAAAACTGGAAAAATATAAAA